TTAGATGTGATCCTGCTTTTCCTGAAATCTGTTGAAGTGGTAAGTATGTACAAATGTTCAGGTATAGACAGCCTTACAAATATGATATTCCAAGTCGAACGTAAAGATACTGATAAGAATGCAAAGAGGGTATTTTTCGAAAATGTCAAAAATAAATGTCAGACAGAACCATACTTTCAACAAAGTGATATTATTTTATCAATTGGAGCAAATCAAACAACTACTCAATGGCTAATTCTCAATAAGCTGTTTGATACAGATGTTCCTTGTTATGTAAGTGATCTAGCCTCTAGGTTAGAATTGTTGCCAATGGTCGGCATAGCAATGCCACTTGAAAGAAACACTTATATTCCGAAACTGAACACAGTGGTCGGTAGAGTGTTTTGTGTTCTTCCACTACCATCCGATGAAGTAGGTGAAGGAGTAACTGGCTTACCTCTTCATATCCACGCCTACTTTGGACTGGCTGACAATCGACGCAGTCTGAAATGGACAGAAGTTGATCAAAAGCATGACCCTATGGCAGAATGGAATGAACTAATAGTGGCACGTTTATTACCACAAGCCTATGTTTTGTTTATTCTACATGCAATTGCAAAGGTATCACCATATTCAATATATCAAGCATGGCCAAACACAAACAGCATTAAACATCACTGGAATAAGTTCCTAGATTATTTTCATAAGGTTGTAGCCCACCAGTCCATTCTGTTCACAAAGACAAAACATGGACAGTGGATTTCTCCCTCCAAGGCTATATTCAGCAATTCAATGGTTGGTATTCCAAATGATGTGGTACAAGCAGTTACATCATACATAGAGTCCTGTGATGAAGATGTTGTTGTCCTTCCAGAGCATGTTTGGGAACATATACCTCACTGTGTTAACAAATATAAAACGGTCAACCCTCAGTTATTGAGAAACTGTGTACGCACTCATTTTGTAACAGACCTGTCTTATGAAGAAAAGATACTACTTCTTCAATTTTCTCTCCATGATGATAACTTCGATGATCTGCAGAATGTACCTCTCCTTCCAATATCAGGTAAACAATTTACAACTTTTCAGCCACGTCATATGTATGGCAGCAAACCAGTTCTATTCCCTAAACCAAATAATCTACAAATCCTTCTCCCAGGTAAATGCAAATCATTTCAATTTACTGAAACTAATCTTCCTAACACTATTCATTATAAACTTGGTCGAGTAGCAGACAGTGAGAAGACTCAAGTTAGATACATGGGCAATGCACATGTCTTTGAGTATCTTTATGAAGTTCTGCCTGCAGCCTGGTTTAAACATGACAATGATACTTTTAGATGGACTCCAGATAAAAACAACCATCCATCTGTGAGATGGCTCGCTGAAGTTTGGTTATGGATAAGCAGGGAATATCCTACCAGTCTTTCCAAGTTTTCAAACATCCCGCTTTTTCCAGTTGATGGTTCTACCAACACACAACTTGTGAAGCTCAATTCCAATACTCACGTTATATTTGCAGGAAATTCCACTGCTACCTTGCAGTCTGATGTGTGCAAATGTCTTCAAACCATGGGTGTAGTTATATTGACAAACCAGCCTAATTTCATCAGACACAATGCGCTGCATGAGTTTATCGCTCCTCCAACCCCTGAAGGTGTTATATCTATATTAGGAAATTTGTCCAATAATACATACAGTAAATTATCAAAAGAGGAAAAACAAGCACTGAGAAGAACTTTAGCCAACGTATCTAAAGACTCTATTATTAAGAACAGGGCAATGTTATGCAACCTTCCTATATTTGATACAGTTCCAGGTAGTGGTGGCCAATCAAGACAGCAATTTTGTAATATCAACGATGCTAAAGTTGCACCTTACAATCTTGCACAAAGAACTGGCTACAACAACTTCAGAATAAAGCAGTTACTCATTAAAGCTGATGATCCATGTAGTAGCAATTTATTGTCACTCATTGGCATTGAGCGTCTAAAACTTGCATCTCTGCTTTCCACTTACATCTTTCCTGAGATGCATGGTAATTACTATCAACAATGTGAAATTGACCAAATTATGGTATGGGTGCTCCGTCATCTAAATGATATGATAAAAGAAAAAACAGATTTCAGATTGGATATTGAAGTAATTCCATTTGTCAAAATTGACAACCATTATAATAGAGTGAAGCCAAATAATGTTTTTGACCCGCAAGATCAAGTACTTCAAAAGCTTTTTCAAGGGGAAAATGTTTTCCCAATTGGTCCTTATGCAGAACAGGATATTGTCCCTATACTCCGGAGAGTTGGGCTGAAGAATCTTGGTGATGTAACAGCTTCAGATATTGCAAACACAGCAAGCATTATCAGCAAATCAAATGATTTTGAACATACAGCATACAATAAGGCAATGGAAGTACTTAGCCTTTTAAATAAATCTCCAAAACTTCTTATCTCCTACTATAATAGACTTCCTTTAGGGAGTTACCTGAGAAAGATCAAGTGGGTGCCACGGAAGACGACTAGACCGGATAATTATCCCTTACAATTACAATGGTGTGATACTGACCAGATGATTTTCAAACCAACTGATATTTTCGCATATAACGCAGCAGTTTTAGTTGGTGGAAACCTTCCAGTAGTTCCATTTGAAGTAGTCCCAGATTTGAAAAAAATGCTTGTATCAGAATCACACATTTCAGTGCCCGATCTTTCTAGTCAACTTGAGAAAGTAGTAATTGCTTGGAATAAATGTGCAAATTGGGGTTATTCAGAAAGTAGTAAATACAATCTTAAAGAGATTGTTTATAGAATATATGAGGAAATTGCAAACAGGGATTCACTTTATATGCAACAAATTGACTTTCCCTGGTTATGGCATGGGGATGGTTTTACATATCCACATATGATGGCTCTTAATACCAACTTCCCATTTCCTCTTAAACCATATCTATATAAAATTCCAGAGCAGCTACTTTCTATGAAAAGTTTTCTGATGCAATCTGGTGTAAAAGAAGAATTTGCTGAAAGTGATATGATACAGGTGCTAGAAGTGATCCAAGCAAACCACCAAACAGATGATGAAAAAAACAGATCACGTGATTTATCACTTTCTGTAAGCATTCTTAATTGGATAACAAGAGATAAAGAATACATATCAGATGACTTCAAAGATAGACTACTTGTTCCAATTGACACTTGTGATGGTTCTCTGGAGTTTACTCTTGGACAGAATTGTACATATTGTGACAATGACAGTCTGGTAAACACATATGATAGTGCCATCGACGACAACATTACTATGATACATCATAATATTTCAACTGAGACAGCTCAATATCTCAGAATACCATCTCTTAGTCAGAGATTTATTGAACCAGAAGAACTAGGATTCGAAGTTGCTGGTCAGCATGAGCCAATAACTACACGCTTGAAAAATATATTAAAGGGCTATGGTGAAGGAATGAGTATATTCAAGGAATTAATCCAGAATGCTGATGATGCAGGAGCAACTGAAGTGAAATTTCTTATTGACTGGAGGTCAAATTCAAGTGCAATGAAATCTCTCTTCTCCAAAGAAATGAAAGAGTGTCAAGGCCCTGCACTTTGGTCATATAATGATGCAATATTTACAGATGATGACTTGAAGAATATAAATAAATTAGCTGGCGCTACAAAGGCGCAGAATAGGAACAAGATTGGTAATTTTGGATTAGGATTCAATGCTGTGTATCATCTCACAGATATACCCAGTTTTGTGAGTCGTAACATATTTGTAATGTTTGACCCAAATACTAGTCATATTTCTAATTTACTCAAGAATAATGTTCGATCTGGTATTAAATTAAATCTTGAGAATGCAAGTACATTAAGAATATATGCTGACCAGTTCAAACCTTATTGTGGTTTATTTGGTTGTGATCTCGTACGACAAAAACAGTATAAAGGAACTTTATTTCGGTTTCCTTTGCACACACCCACAACAGCTGTGAAAAGTGAGATTTCACATGTTGTGTATGATGCAGCTCGCATGAAAAACCTTATTGATGGTTTATACGAGAATGCAGAGACACTGTTGCTATTCACTCAACACGTGTCAAAAGTGCAAGTTTTTGAAATCGTTGATGACAAAACTGATATCACTGATCCAACTGTATTGTTTTCAATTGGTGTACGGGATGTTATGCCACTTATGAAAGGAATGTCAGTATCTCGCGAAATACTTGCTGAAAGTTCTCATATTTGGAAAGATTTTCTTGACGGAAAGCATGTAACATCCCCCACATTTACCTACACAATGAAGATATTTTGTGATGTAGAAAGCTATTTGGAGCATGATGATAATGAATATAACGAACCACAGAGCTTTGAACACACATGGGCAGTTTGTTCTTGCATTTCTTCAGGGGACGCCCTAAAGTTTGCTTTTGATTACTCAGAGCAATGTAATCTTGGATTGCAACCATGTGGAGGTACTGCAATTAGACTTGTGCCAGAGAGTGATGAAACACTTTCCCTCTGTGCTACACAAGGTGAATTGTTCTGTTACTTACCAGTACACATTCCCACTGGTCTTCCTGTACATATCAATGGTGGATTTGCCCTATCATCTGATCGACGTGGTCTACCAAGTCATGTAAAGACTGATATGAATAAATCAATTGAAGTTCAGTGGAATGATGTACTCATGCATGATGTCATTTGTGAATCCTACACTAAGTTGCTGCAGGATTTACTTAACAGTGGCAAACTAAATAAAACGAGCTATGACTATTCCCACTGGCCAACTAAACAGTGTGGCAGTCAATATGCAGGTGTTGTCCAAGGATTCTACGAGAGAGTTTTGGGCTATAGGCATCGGCAAAGTATTCCAAAGCTCTTTCTTCAAGACCCATTCCTGAATGGAGATGCCAACTTGGATATAGATAACTCGCATACATTAGATCCATGTTTGAGACAAGAATCAGTTGGGAAATTGGCACTGAATATTTTGAATCAGCTACTATGCAGACATAATTCACCATTCAGAACAATAGATATTTCAAAACCAGTACTTTCCACATTGCATCATCTTAATATGCAGGCAAAGGTAGATAAAATTACAGTTACCAAAGAAACATTTTACAAGAAATATCTTTTTCCAAACTTAAACATTCTAGCCAGTAGTATAAGAGATCGCTTTGTTCTTGATATCATATTAAGCTCAAAATGGAAATCACATGAATACATGAAAACACTGCTGCAAACACATCCATGTATTCCTACATCTACACAGTGCTCCATGATGTCCAAAGTGACAGATCTTATTGATCCAACATCCAAACTAGCAGCACTTTATGATAAAAATGACAAGAGATTCCCTTGTGGGGACAAATATGTATCAGAGAATTGTTTGACTAAACTCCGTGAAGTTGGTATGGCTCATAATCAGCTAACATGGACAGATGTTATTGAACGTGCAAAGTCTGTACAACCGTTATACAATAGTAATCCTCAGATAGGATTGCAAAGAGTGAGAGCCTTGATTGTATACCTTCAAGATGAATACAGATCATGCCCTGATACAGTGAAGAAAAAGCTACACTTGATTCCTTTCCTCCCAATTATGAAGAAACCATTACAGTACAGTTTACCATGGCACAGTAGTACTGTAGATATTACTTCCCCAAGTGTCCTATATACAAGTAGCTGCAAACACTTAGTAAGTGTATCCAAGCCTGTTATCAATGATGGAGATGGAGGATGTGGACATATACCATACAGTGTTATGTCACTTCTTAAACTAACTGACAAACCAGATATTGATATCGTTATTAAGCAACTATTTACAATAACTGAGTTTGGTTTCATTGAAGGCACAACATCTGAAATATGCCAGGCGATTTATTCATTTTTAGTGAAAGAAATTCAGACAAGAAAACTGCATGGTCTGGACCATAATGTGATAACAGAGAAATTAACCACAAGTAGAAAACCATTTCTGTTGACATGTAGATCGTTTGTGCTTCCAGATCAGATGTCATTCAGTCTGAAATTTAACTGTGCACCTTATTTATATACTGTATGTGATTTTCTCAAGCCTTTTTCAGAGCTTCTTAAGGCTTGTGGGGTAAGGGAATGCTTTGATATGTTAGATTATGTCAACGCGATAAACCAATTAGCACGTGAAAAAAATCACACAAAATTGACCCAAGATCAGCTTGACTTAATTATAAATCTAACATCGCATTTTCGAAACACAGAACACATGTATAAACCATATCTTGATAAAATTTACCTCCCTGGCCAGGATTGTATACTATATCAGCCTAAAGATTTGGCGTATAATGATGTCCCTTGGATAGAAGTGGAAGATGGGGAATATACATTTGTTCATGAAACTTTTAGCCGATCACTTGCAATCAAACTGGGAGTGAAACCAATTCGCACAAAGAAAGTAGAAGAGTATTCTACCGGAGTTGATTTTTTCATAGGAGATTACTTTGGACAGAACGAATGTCTTGCAGACAGAATTAAGGGGATATTACATAATTATCCATTTGGAGTTGACATATTGAAAGAATTGGTTCAAAATGCAGATGATGCTCAGGCAACAACAGTACATGTTATTTATGATAAGAGAAAACATCTATCAGAAAAAGTATTTAATAATTCATGGATTGATGTGATGGGCCCAGCACTTTGCATTTACAATGACAAGATATTTACAGACAAAGACATCAAAGGTATTCAGAAACTGGGCATTGGTGGCAAACGTGATGCTGCTGAAGCAATTGGTCAGTATGGTATTGGTTTTAATGCTGTTTATCACTTGACTGACTGTCCAACTATTGTGACAAACAATACCGACCTTTTAATATTTGATCCTCATGCAAAATATGCCCCTGGTGCTGATTTTCATCACCCAGGACGAAGGATTCCAGTGGGAAAACTACAACGGGATTATCCTGATGTGTATGCTTCTTATCTTACTGAACAGTTTGATTTGAAAAACTCAACAATGATTCGACTTCCAATAAGAGATATCGAAGCAGCTTCAACATCCAATATTTCAAATAAAGCACTTGATACAAACAAGATAAATTGTCTTATTAAAAACTTCAAAGATGAAATGCCACAAATGCTTTTATTTCTGAATCATGTTAAAGTGATCAAAATATCAGAAATCACTGTGGGTGGTGAAACACTTCAAAATACATACTCAGTTAAAGCTGTCATGACAGATGATGATGCTGCACAACGTACCAAATTTGCGTCAATTGTCAAAAAGAGAGCAGTAGAAATTTTGAAAAAGCAAAATGCAGTATTGGCAATACCAGAATCAGTTGTTAGTTATGAGTTAAACATTTCAGATTCTAATAATATTGACTACAGATGGCAGGTAACACAAAAGATTGGGTTCTCTAAATCTGCTAGAGCATCATTTGATGATGATGATTTAAATGATTTCATGAAAACCATTTTGCCAAGAGGTGGTATTGCAGCTTTATTAAGTACAGCACATCGACGTAGTATGTATAATACATATTCAGATTACAACAGATATGGTCTGCATTATTCCACTGCTCACGAAACATATGTTCCAAAAATTATAACAAGACAACAATCTCAGGTATTCTGTTTCCTTCCATTGCCTGTTAAGACCGGACTTCCTGTCATGGTCAATGGCCATTTTGCCTTAAGCTCTGATAGAAGGAGCCTGTGGGAAAATGATATAAAAGGGAAATGGAATACATTTATTAAACATCACATTATTGCAACTGCATATATTGACATGCTGAAAGCACTTAAAACAGTTCTATTTTTACAGCATGGTCCAGTTAACAACAATTTGGAGCTTTATGAAGCAATGTTTCCCAGTATGACCACAGTTCATTCAGATTGGAAAGAGGTTGTTTGTTGTGTTTACAAACTTTTGAGTGATTGTCCGCACCAACTCATACCAGTCCTCCAGCTAGATGATTGGCCAACTGATGAAAATGATTTTCTTGCTACTCATAGTTCTATTACATGGCATTTTTTGAAAGATAGTTATTTCAACACCGCTGCCAAAGTATCTAGTCCAAAAGGAATCCTTGACATGTATATAAGAGATGATAAAGTGCAATCTCCATCTACTCTTCTAGTTATATTACAAAGGTTGGGATTCCCACTTACAACACTTTCATCAAGAATTTATGATCATTTCAAGGTTTTAAACATAGAAGCTGCACAGGAATTATCTCCCCATTATGTGTTAACCTACTTGCGAGGCAATCCTAATGCAGTAGGCAATATCCCTTGCTTTATAAATGAATCAATATTCCCTGATATTGAACATTTATGCATTATTTTGAAATACTGCCTGAAAGGTGAAGACTTGGAACTGGATGGCATTCCACTGTTGATTACTGTTGATGAGGTATTAAGAAAATTTAACAATGCAAAACCAGTTTATGTAAATAAGTACCCAAATCTAATTCAAGCACTAGCTAAACGGACTGTTTCAAAATACATATATCATGATATGGCAGGCATACATGACGAATCGATTAAAATATTCACAATAGATGACTTAGCATCACACCTTCATACAGTTCTACCAAGACCACCAAAGAAATATATTGACTGGAGACATAATACATACAACATTGGTGTGCCATGGCTGAAAACCTTATGGAAATTTCTTTGTTTTCGTCATAAAAATGCCGACAAATTCCCTGGCGCCCTCATAAATTGGTGCATTGTGCCTACAACAGCGTCCCACTTAATACCATTGTCAAATGCAAAAAAAATACTTAGTCCAGATATGTCTGTCAGATGGACATCATCTGTTCATAACATAGTGAATATCACCACAAAGCTTGGTTGTGCTGAAATAAAGTATGATGCGATGTGTACTAATGATGCTTTTAAGTTTGAAATACAGTCACTCGTGGCAGATTATCTGAGTGATTACAATTTGCGATCAGATGTTGCTAATGTTTTAAAATGTCACTTGTGGAATGGTGATTGGTGTACAACACTCAGTGAATCTGATTGTACAGCTGTTCTGAAGTACTTTCAGGAGGATATGCCCTTGACCCCTAAAGTCATCGACACAATAAAGAATCTACCAATCTTTCTTACAAGATTTGGTAGTATAGTTTCTATAGCAGAATACAGTAGAGTCCATGTCTTGGCAAGTTATTACATCCCAGATATTGAAAGTGCTAAGTGGATGAAGAAGTACAATTGCCTGATATTGAAAAGGGAACCCAGTTTACATGATATATATGATGACCTTGGGATAACAGAAATATCAGTCACAGAAGTATATGTTCAATATATTCTACCATCCTTTCAGAGTTTGGGACAAGCCACTCAACTAAAGCATCTTGACACATTGAGAATAAACTTTGCTTATCTTGAAAGTGAAGCACTGATAAATAAGCTTAAACATATTAATTTCATTCCTGACCCACAAAGAAATAATGAAGTGTTTCCAGTAAGTAGATTTTATGATCCAGAGAATGAAATCTTTCAGAGAATGTTACCTGGTGGGTTATTTCCACCGCCTCCTTTCAATGACAAGAAATGGTTGCAATTTCTCAGAATGATTGGACTTCATACAAAAGTCTCAGAAACAGACTTTATCAAGTTTGCGAAGCAAATAGAAGAAATTGAGTGCAATGATGAACAAGAAGCTATGTCACAAGCTGAGGTATTGATCAAGCTTATGATGTGCGACTCAGACTTCCATAATTCGTCTTTTCTGAAGGAAATATCAAAGATACGATTTGTGCCAGTAGGAGAGGTTGACTGGAATTTGCGTAACATCTATTGGCATCATTCTAATGCTAATTTCACATATTTCTGTAATACAGTCCGTGTGAAGTATGCACCATTGATGTGGACGGTAGCACCTGTTCTACCGACCTGGGCTGATCCAAATGAACACTCCAACAATACACATGTTTTAGGGTTACTGTGTGAAAATTTAAGGATCCAGAAACATCCTTCACTGGAGATGGTATTGCAACATTGTAAAATGTTATCATACAGTATTGAATGCAATCTTGCAAAATGTGTTGGTGCATATACACATTGCGCAAAAATGCTTATTTCAGTATGGAAAGCAATTTATGAATATATAATGAAACAATGTGAAATGTATACAAAAAAACAGAGCTGTTGCACAGATGAAACTATGTGTGGAATTTGTCAAGCAATAACACATAATTTAAAAGACCTACCAATTATTATGCTTGAAGATTGCAATACTATTGTTAAAGCCAAACAAATAATATTGAAATTGTCAGATACCAAAATGGAACCATTTATTTACAGTATTCCTCTGGATTTGGGGTCATATTCCTCTTTATTCCGTCTTCTAGGTGCCACTCAACATCCGACTGAGTCACAACTTGTAGATGTTTTAGAAAATATATATAAATGTAGTGATGGAATAAAACTGGATCCCAATAATCTCAGAATAGCATTTCAGGCCATATTTCTTCTGTTCTCCACTATTAAAACAAGGCATATTAACAACAAAAAGTGTACAGAGGATTGTATTGAAAACTACCTGTTACATCACAAGTTATATCTTATTAGTACTGATGATAAGATAATATTATCGTCTGACCTTGTCTTTCATGATGTTGCTTGCAACACTAAAACATTGAAGGATCTCAAATACAACTTTCTATTTGATATAAGCAAATGTGGTTTAGATGAGTTTACAGGGGATCTACTTAAATTCCTGCCAACAAGCTGCAGACCCAAATACTTGAGTAGTATTGTAAGAAATGAAATAGTCAATCCAAAGCCTTGCAGTGAGTATCCATCATGCCAAGTACAGCAGTCATATCAAAGTATGTTGTCCTCAAAGGAATTTCGTGATGCAATACTGAAAATATTGATAAAAGAAGAACATGTCAATGTGAATGAAGAGATCAAACAGCTGTTGGGAAACTTACAACAAATAACAGTCAAGTGTCTTGATGAAGTGAATATACAATTAATAAATGTAGAATCAAATAGTACAGTAGTTAACAGCACACACAAAGAATATGTATATCTTGAATATGAAGAGAGTAACACAATATTGTATCTACATCATGATAGGAGCCAGGATAGAAGGTTTAGTAGTAGCCTAACTAAGACAGTTTGCAAGCTCCTCAAAAATGTGTATCGTATACAATTGCAAATACAAGATCTGTTGTTTTGTCAACATCCTGACGAAATTATGACATACCTTATTGAAAATGGCTACTCAACTGATGAAGGGGATAATGTACATTTCATACAACCTGTAGGTGTTGAAATCATCGAGCCAGATAAGCATTTTCTGGATCACAATCCTAACTATCATTTCAGACCTGGGGAAATTGTTGGCTATGAATTAGACACCTCTGAAGGTCAATCCACTTATATTTATGTGCAAATTGTGAAAGAAGTGAAGGGCATAAAAGATAAACAACATTTCATTCAAATGTATGAAATTGAAATTGGTAAACCTGAAACATTAGTTGTCACATCACTTGATCTTTACAAAGTAAACAGAACGCAACACAATGGTCCCTATGAATGTGATGCAGAACATGATAGATTGTTCAAAGATGCATGTGAAAAGATGCCAGCACTCTGTGAAAGTATTTTGTCTGAAGCTACCTTAACAGACGAACAAAAGAGGAAGGCCATGAAGAGATTATATTTCACATGGCATCCAGAAAACAACCATCACAATAAAGAGATTGCTGGTAAAATTTTTGAGCACATTACAAGAAAACTTGATAGATTCCAACAGAATTTCAGTTATAAATCTGGAAGAGGATTTGGCCACGCTGCAAACTGTAATGTGTTCACTTCATTTTATGATCACTGGGGTCAGGAGGCTAGAGCCTATCATGAAAAAGCACATACTTTTTCTTTTAGAAGTTTAGATCATGATTATTCGTCTTTTATAAGATACTCAAAACCAAATCCCACTGAAGGAAAGCGCTGGCTTCGGCAAGCAGAAGCAGACTTACGTGCTGCAAGCAAAGACATGGAAGGAGACAGTCATTCATTCGAATGGGTGTGTTTCAAGTGTCAACAAGCTGCCGAGAAAGCATTAAAGGGTGGTATTTACACAGTTGTTGGGGACTTACCTGATTCCAGAACACATTCATTATCTTCTCTGGCTTGTACACTATCTAAACATGTCAGTGACATGAATGTGAAAGACGATGCTATCACATTGTCAAATATCCATTGTGACCATCTCCATCCTCGTTATCCTGATATGTATGGTGGAACTAAAATACCAAATGATGTATATACACAAGAAACTGCAAAGAAGGCGCTTAAACATACAAAACAAATTGTACATGCGGTTGCCACATTACAATTGCATAAATGAACTAAATACACTATGAAAGCACAGTTCAACCATGGCTACAGATACAAATTGATCCCCACTAATACCTCTACTCTAGTGCATGTCTTCTTATTACAAAAAAAATATCCATCATATTTGTTAGCTTCTAATTTTTGGAAGGAAAAACAAATTGAGGCTTGATGAGTCTGGCAATAATAAGGAATCCATCAAAACGTTTTCCATGGCAACTTAAAATATGGCAACATGTCCTAAAATTCAATCGGATGGTTTATGTGTGAAAGACGACCAACCCTATCAAAGACGAA